TCTATAAGAGGCCAAACAATTAGTTTCATCATTTACCTCCGAGCTTTTCTGTGACAGGTGAAGAAACGTCTGCAGGGACGGAGACGATTTGTCTGATTACGACTTTCAATTAACCTGCAGAGAGAAATAAGAAAAGAAAAATCTGAATCCTCACAACACAGTTTTCTTTACGTAGAAACCCCAGATATTAAGATGAGTAGAAAGGGAGCGTCAGAGAAGCAGAAGGTGAAAGTGGAACGGCTGCACCAGAGGTGGAATGTGTTATAACATGTTTCAACATTTAAGTTCAGCTGAAGAAACTGTTGTGTAACTATCGGAGGGAGGGAGCGATGCCAGCGAGGCCGGAAGGAGCTGGAGCTCTTTACTCATTAATGAAAGTTAGAGAAAGTTAAAGAGTTATAGAAAGTGAATTTACATCATAGTGAGAATATAAACGTATTAGATGTTAATATGTGGAAACAAGTGATGAATGTAATGTTGATGCTTAGAGAATAAATTCAAAGCAGTTTTTTCAGATCGAGCTAAAGAGAGAGACCGAGACAGAAATAAAAAAAAGAGTACAGATGAAAAAAGAGTATTAAGATTAAATAAAACATCATATTCATGTACTATTTCATTATATTAACATATTTATGATAGTATAATCATTAATATGATAATTTCCTCTATTTTGTATATAATATAGTGTATTATAAAACTCTTATATATGGTTATTATAAATAATATTAAACAACATAATAAATAACGTGGCAGAAATATCTTCACACTGTTTGTGGTATTTAGTTTATTTAGTTTATAGCAAATGTAATCATTAAGATCTTGTTCTTATCTATTCTTGAAATAACACAAAATAAAAAGAAGTGTTGGTTATTTCTTGATGACTTTCAGCCCTGAATTGATTGGTTTTAATTTGAAACAGAGCTGTGTGACTTCCTGTGTCTCTGCTATTTGCTGAGCTCCCCTCCTCCTCCTCCTCTTCCTCCTCCTCCTCCTCAGTTGAGACTTGCACAGCAGCTCTGGGTGTTTCCCTCTTCATTCACCATCCTCCCTGCAGCTACTCATTCCTTCTGCTGGTTTAATATGAGGCGAGGCCTCACAACAGAAATGCTTGTGAGCGGCCGCAGGGACTGGATGCGTCAGTGTGACCTGTGTGACCGAGTGCTGCTGCTGCTGCACACTGGTGAGGCCTTCAGCTCCGAGCAGGTGTCTCAGTGCGAGGCTCAGAGAAGAAGAATGAAAACGCTGCTGCTCCACACAGTCGTTAAATAATGAAACTTTCCCTCAGGTTTGAGGAAACGAAAGAACAAGAGAACAACAAATCAGATGTGAAATCTGGAACTTTACACTTTTTTACTATTTTACATCCTCAACGAGAGAAACACACGAGGTTTTATTCACATGAAAATTAATGAGTTATTTCCACACAGACAAGTTGAATTTCTGTCCATTTAATATCTAATATGTTTTGTTTTCCTTCTCTGTTGCATTTCGTCAGCACGTTGGCATGGCAACCTGCGTTTAATGAGGCACCGACATTTCCCGAATGTTTCCTCCAGGCATCCTCATAACAAACCTATTATTATCGTCAGTTTACTCGGATGTCACGTTGGACGTTATTAGAATGAAACTGGAGCCTGTGCAGAAAGTTCACATGTTGTTGTTCCCCGGTTCGACCAGCAGGAGGCGACACGTGAGAAGTGAGAAGTTTCACCACTGAGGAGCTGAAGAAGAAATACGAGTCAACAAATGAACAGTTTGTGTTTGTGATTTTCTTAAACCCTTTATTGTTTTCAGCTGTTCACAGGAATAACTCAGCTTTAGTTTGTGAAAAGTGGAAAATATTTGTTATGAATAAATCAAACTTCTACGTGGTCATTAGATGCATATTTTTTCAACCATGTGATCACAACCTGTCGGATAGATAACGAGCAGCAGCTTGTGACTAACGACCGCTTGTCGTATGATGTGGAAATTGCTGTGTTTCAGAATCTGAGTCACCAGAGTCGAATTGTTCAGGATTCAACTCACTCGCTGCAGCAGCCGAGCGTCCGCCACAGTCACGGTCCGGCAGGTCGAGTTTGACGTTTATGCATCAGTTCTGCGTCTGTGACCTCAGAACCAGGAACCGGTTCATATCCGTCATCATGAGCCGTCATCATGAGCCGTCATCATGAGCCGTCAACGCCTCAGAGACAGCCGGGAATAAAACCTCAACAGAAATCTGCCGTGTGCTCAACTTTATATCTCAACGAAAACACTTCTTCAAAATGATCCGAGTCACTGTTTCCTGGCAGCGCCCTCGTGTTTTCTGACCTGAAGAATGGTCTCAGTGTGTGATGGGGATTAAACTGTGTATTACTTTTATACTTCACTTCATATTCTGTTTTCATGTTTCCTTTATCAGAACTTTTTTCCAGATGCTTCTTATTTTTCCTTCCCTCTTTGCTGCTGACACAAATTTCCCCAGTGAAGGACGAATAAAGGATTATCACATTTTTATCAAATCTTGTATTGTGTCATAGTGCATCGTTTGGTGTATTATATCAAATGGTACTGTATCGTTTGCATTGTGGAACATTGTATCTTAACATATTGTACGTTTCTCTTTAGGTCCTTGGGGCCCCACCTGCAGGCCCTTGGGGGCCCTGATGTGGGGTCGACTCTGTTTGTGTTGAATGTGTCTGTACAAGCTCAGAGTTCACAGTTGCTCACCTGGAATCCCGTAAAATCCCCAGGAATCTGCAGGGATGCTGTCGTACGAAGTGTGAAAGAGAAAGTGTGAGATAATCTCCCGCTGACTCTTCATGCTGATGCTTCTCAAACTGACACAAATAAAGATTTTGAAGTTTCAGTGATGAAAAGGTTGAGCTCAAACTGTGTCGTCCTCTTCTCAACCCGCTGCTCATCCTCTCCAGAAGCTTCTTGATCCTCACACTCAACTTTGACCTGGTTTATGAACCATCAGTCACGGCGAGGATTCTCCGCTCTGACACCGAGAATGTCCGACTGTAATGAAAACGTTTCTTCTCCACCGCTGACGAAGAGATTTACACTCGTGTTTATGAACGAGTTGAATCCGTGATTCTGTCCATCACAGGGTTTTGCTTTGATAGTAAAAATAAACTTAGTGAGACAGCAGCTGTTACATCATAAGAGCAGATTGTCTTCAGGTTTTCAGAAAATCTACGTTGAAGGAGGCAAAACATGTTTCAGGTGAAACGTCAGGATGAGATGAAAGACAGGAAGTACAACACAAAAGGTAAAATATTTCAAAATAAAACAGGAAACAATATCTTGAACAAAATTCAAGTCCCTGAGATGAACAGATCATAGAACGCATCGTAGAAATATTCAAGAGGGAAATGTCTAAAGATCCTGACTTTTAATGGGTGATCCTACAAATCCCATAATGCAACTTGATCTTTCATCAAACAAACTTCCAGGGTGAGACGATTATTATTTTTCTCCTGCAGAGCCACAGAAAACTGGAAGCACCTGTCGCCACAACAACAGGAATATTGATGCTTTACACATTGTGATTATTTAACTTAGAATTTAAAATACTTCCTCCAATCATTGACCTGTTGAATCACACGACCTCCAGACCCTGACCTTTGACCTTTATGATATTTTTCACAAACTCAGTTCCAGGATTCCTTGTGTCGACACTTTGTCAGATATGATTTTATTTTATTTCTATTCCAGATGAGAAACGCAGCTTCAAGCAAATACAAACATTTTCATGTGAAAAATCAAAAGAGATGAAAAAGATTAAAGAGCATCACACAAACATTTTGATTTTGATTCAACAATTAAAGCTAATTTATGCTCAACGTCAGAAACGGAACCTTCTCTTCTGCTCTGCGTTCATTTCATCCGTATTCGTGCTCGTCCTCCGAACGTTTACGGAGATGGACGAAAGGGGCAGTACCACTGTAATCCATGGGGGGGCAATGTCACATCTCTGTACAGAATTAATGGACTTTTTCTCTTTATGTTATTCTGTGTTGTACTTCAGGGACATTTAGATATTTAGTAAAACACAAGCTGCAGAGTTTCATCATTACTGAATCTGGAGCTGACGCCAAATGGAAAAAGGTGCGACCGACTACGAACGCACAAAAACAGATACAAGCGTAAAAAAGAGACTTGAAAACAAAGCACTTGAGTTTGTTGATCTTCTTCACACGTCGTCTCGCTCCTCACTTCCTTTCTGGGAATCAGAAATCACGGGAAGTGGATGGAAAAGTAAACACAGATGAGGGAGGGGCTGAAGGTGTGTGGGGGGCACGTGTGTGTGTGTGTGTGTGTGCGTGCGTGTGTGTGTGTGTGTGTGTGTGTGTGGATGAGTTGTCACACGAGGTTAAAAGTCCAAACCGTTGCTGAAGGAAACACCAGCTGTTGGAGTGATGGCGACAACACGTCGCCCTCTAGAGTCCGTCTACAACACGACACACTTAGAATGAAATAAAATAATAAATAATAATAAATATTATTCATTACGTTAATTCTTCTACAGTTTTCCGTCACATCCAAACTGATGTGGATATTTTACTAAAGAAACTTTCCCTCTGCATTTCCTGTCCACAAGCAAATTACATCTCAAGTTACGATTTTTAGAAACATCTGTAAAACATCTCACAGTATTTTAGACGAGGGCCTGGTTCTGGACCTTTTCTGAAAAAAAATAACATTTTAAACAAAAAAAGAGATTTATGCTTGTTTAGAATAAATAAGTAAAAGAACCGGTTTATTCAGATTATTCTAAACAATCGAAGTCGTCGTTGGACGAGACAAACCTCAGTTAAACAAAACACACATTTCCTCAAACCTCGTAAGAAAAAGTAAAACTAACAAAAAAGTTTTCAGGAGAGAAATAATTTGATTTAGATCAAAAGTAAAAACGCTTCTTTATTCACCTCCAACATTAAACTGGTTCTTAAATATAAATAAAGATGGACGACATGAAGCTGAAGCCAAACTGTCTCGATCGCCCCCTGGTGGCTGGCTGCAATACAGGTCACAAACCCTGCCTCCTCCATGTTAACATGACATGGACCAAACTGAAATGTAACTTGACTGCTTCCTGTGTTTGCTGGCTAACTGCTGCTAGCTAGCAGCAGTTAGCAGCTGCTGCTGCCTCACACAGTATTTCAGCCCATGTTGTGTCTTTTTGTGGTTCAACTCATCTCTGACGCCCTCAAGAGGTTGTTTGGCCGATCGGATCCACTTCACATGATACTGTGATTTACACCTGAACTTTCATGCTCTTGATCTGATAGTGATCTGATTACCAAAAACACATTTCCATGTCAGGTGTAGATGCGGTAACTTGATTAAAGTCAGGACGCCACACAAACCGTCACACTCTCAGAGTTCTGTCACTCGTCAGTGGTCGGTCTCCTCCATCACCTCCATCACCACCGTCCTGGGTCCGGTCAGGATCAGGTGGCTGACGCTGCGGTAGTCCAGATCCAGAACGTTGTGCCCGTTGACCGACACCACGAACTGACAAACCTGTCGGTGAGAGCATGAGCTCGATTAGAGAGTGAGAGGACCCGAGTGAGTGGTGAACGGCCTCCATGTCACTGATGACTTTTTCTTTATGCAGTTTAGAACTTCTGGGTGTTTTTTACATCTTATTTCTTCATATTGTGCGAAATGTGTTGGTTTCAAAAAGAAAAGGAAGTCATTCACCTTCAAACGTTTGCCTTGCCTAAAAACTTTGCACATCGTCGCATGATAACATGTAACATATAAAAAGTAAAGTGATGGAAACTTTACTTTGCCATAGACTAAGCTTCTACATCTAGTTACTACATTTCCCATGATGCCTACCTTCATCCCTGCAGCGGCCGCTGGGCCGCAGGGTTCCACAGCCTGGATGTGACACGGTCTGTTTCCTCTCACCACAAACCCCCAACCCACAGCGTCACCCACAATCTGCACACACACACACACACACACACACACAGATGATCCCTCATCTCTTCTGTTCAGCAGCAACATGAAACTTCACCTCTAGATGTCACTCAGTTCTACACACTGAGCCTTTACGCCCTTGGACAGTTGGACTCACAGTGAACGTTCTCCTGACGTACGGACCTCCCGGCTGCTGCAGCTCCTCCGTGCTCACCGGTCTCTTCAGAACTGAACGTGAAGCATGGAAACGTTTTATTTCGTCTTTCAGCAGAAAGCAACAAACAGAAGATGGAAATAACGGATCTGAGACCAAACTGGAGGAAGTTGTAAAGTGTGTGATGTCACAAATACAGAAAGGTTTTTCATTTGGACGGAAAAGATGCAAATCTAATTGAATGAAACTTTATTTTCTTCAGCCTTCATATGGACCTGTCATCCTGGAGAGCGCCCCCTACACAACCCAGAACGTTTGAGGGTGCAAGTTCTTCTCTAATAGAAATCCTCACTGTCGGCCCTTCTCCTCTGTGGTGGTATCAGCATCTTACTGGACAAGTGGCGCCCCCTACTGCTCATCTGCATGAATCAACTCTCAGTGGTGAATGGAAACTCCTGTAAATCTGAGTTCTCCTGCTCTGGTCACTGTCTGTGGGTTCTCACCTGATTTGGGGTTGGAGAGGACTGAAGACGAGGATGAAGAGTTGCTGTTGCTGCGGAGGCCGACCTCTCTCCTGCTGTACCTGCTCCCATCACTGCTGCTCCTCAGCCGGGCTCCTCCCATCACCACCTTCACCTCCTTGGAAGCGGTGACTGATGGAGAGAGAGAGGAGATCATGAGGCCACAGAACTCAACTGACCCAGTTCTGACTTCGTCACTTCAGCCGGCAGCGACTCCACCTGTGTTCAGACACGCTTCGTTAAAACACAGAGATGAGAAAACCAAGGAGGGTGGGGGGGTGACAAACCAAACGTCTCCATGGTGACTGGTCCAGATGTGGTGATGTTGAGACGTATTCTGAAACTTTCATAAAGCTGTGTCGCGCTGAATTATCAAGTTTCATTTTTTGAAAAAATGTGTTGTTGTTGTTGTTCATGTTTTCATGTGATTTATTATTATTATTATTATATTGCATGAAGAAGTATTTTTACATTTTCAATCTTATCTCCACACTCACTGTTACGGGATCATCAACACATCATTTGATTGGACGACACAGTGACTCAGAGAAGATGACCTCATGCGCCAAGAAAAAAAAACGTGAGAATAACAGTTCCTGTCAACGATTCACTCGCTACTTCCTCTTGTACCTTTTATAGGTGTATATATATGTATATATATATATATATACATATATATATGTATTAAAAGAAACTTAAATACAACAAAACAATCTTTAAATTTAAAGTTAAGTAACATGTGGTCCAGTTTAAAAAACAACCTGCAGTGAGATTTCCATGAGATTCTGAGGGAATTCACAGTTTTTTCAAAATGTAAAGAAGCAGAAATAAACTTTTTTTTGGATCAGCAGCAACACCGACTGGAAAACTAAAGCTCGAACTCATTTATCACAAAAACAACAGTAATTCTCAAAGACTCTCGACGCTTCCAATCAGTGATGCAGATAAAACAGATGAAGCATTTAGTTTGAGGCTCCCGAGACTCTGACCTGTGACCTGTGACCTTCTTCCCTCCTGAGTTGTCATGTTTTTAGGTGGTTGCTCTTACCTGCCGTACGAGGTCCCATCGCTCCCGCTTTGTCCAAATGCTCCGAGAGGAAACCTCGTGAGGGTGAATCCAGAAAGAAAAGAGGAGAAGAGAAAAGAAAAGAGGAGAAGAGAAAAGAAAAGAGGAGAAAATATGTTGAGCTGCTCAAACAAAAAAGGTAAATGAACAGATGAACACAGGCCTGACGAGCAGACGCTTCTTCATCAGCTGCTGAGTTTAATCTGTGAATGTGTCTGAAAGCGAGAGCAGTCATCCACGAAGAAAAGGTGTGTGTGTGTGTGTGTGTGTGGTGTGTGTGTGTGTGTGTGTGTGTGTGTGTGTTAAATATTAAACCACTGAACAAACAAGCCTCAGCAGCACAGAGGTGGAAGAAACACGTGTTTGGTGAAATTGTCCCTGAAATATAAAAGTAAATGTTTAAAATACGCTGCAGCAACTTTTTTAAATTTAAAAACTCTCACACAAGAATCTAAAGACTTGAAACGAGCTGATATAAATAATTTGTCATCTGAACCTGCAGCGAGTGACGTCGTCGTTAGGAGCTCCTGCTCAACAAACACACTCACAAACCGCCTCTTTCTTTTTATATCGTTTTTATTTTTCGTTTTTTCACAGTCCATGTTTCCTTCCAGTCAGAACCTGCTTGTGCTCAATCCCTGCAACTGCACTCAGGTATTTTGCTGCTTGCGCTCTAGCTTCACTTCTGTTTTTCCTCACGCTGCATCTGTGCACGTGAAACATTTGCTCTCCGATCAGTGAGTAATCACCCGGAAGCCTGTGGGCCAGGCAGTCGTCCAGGTTGCTGGTTTAATTCCACCTGGTTTCCTCAGCAGGAGTGAGGAGCAGTTTGTGTTCGACGGCTCCTCAGCAAATAATAATAATACGAATATTTGTGTTTGACTTCCTGCTCCTTCGGTTTTGAAGATTTTTCATTCAAAAAAAATCTTTGCCCAACTTTTAACAAATGTTTTTATTGAAAGAGTTGAGAAGCAAAGAAAATGATGAAAGAATGAGAAGTTGTTGGTCCTGCAGCTGCAGAGGAATCGATCCTGGAATCAGCTGGAGCTTTTCTGTGTGGAGTTTATATCCTCAACTAAAGTTAATAAACATAAACCTGAAGAGTTACAACGAGACGACGGGTCTGAGCAGCAACAACAACAACAACAACAACAACAACAACATGTCTCAGAGTAAACATGATAAACCCACATTCTGTCCACTCATCACCGATCAATCACTGCTGATAAAACTCAACGTGGCCTCTCACACTGAAGATTAGAGCGCAAGAGGTTTTATAAATTCATGTTTTTACACTGAAACATCAAGTAAAACTCCAAAATGTTTCATTTTTACAGGAAAGTTGTATTTTTATTCACACGATTTATCTTTCACCATTATATGAACTTTTCATTTTGAGTTCAAACAATCACTTGTAGTAAGCTGCCGTCCTCCGGCCTTCAGCCTTTGTTTAGTTCATTTCAAATGTTTGAATATTTGTTTTTACAGTAAATGTCACAGCTGGAGGTTTTTAGTTCACAGGTACAGTAACATAGAGAAGAAGAAGAAGAAGAAGAAGAAGACACACAGCTGCAGATATCGATCATCAGAAACTTTACAGGGACAGTAACTAATCTCCAAATCCATTTTAAATCCAGGGCACGGTGACTGTGCCGTGTTTCATCCTCGAGGTCAGTCCTCATCTTTCTCACGTTCAGTTTTACAGATGTGAGATGTTTTTTGCAGACATGACATCAGCAGTGAAAAAATCCTCCCATGGTCATATATGTAACTGTAACTGACAGAGTTACTGACAGTGTAACTGTAACTGACACATTCAGGTGAATGTAAGTGAGTAATTGTGTTGTTTATCATGTTGTCATCTTTATTTCTTCCTCTTTTTACATGACCTCATTTTTCAATAAGCAATCAGTGATGTGTTTCTGCTGTGATCACACACACACACACACACACACACACACACACACGTCTTGTGGCCTTTGACACACTGACCTCAGATCCTGTGACACGTCTGCGTCAGCCTCTTTATTTGTTTACTCTTCTCCAAGAATCATATAAATTCAATAAAGCTCTGCTGTGGTAAAGCGGACGACCTCACAGGCCATCGTCAGTAAACACAACGTCTGTAACGCACCAGGAGCGTGAACACAAACATTTTATTGTTCAATCGTTTTATTTCCCCCTTTTTAAATTTAATTAAATTTGT